GACAGGATCTGTTCCTTGGTCCATTCCATGCCATCTCTTACCTGTGACCCTTGCTGCTGTCTGATGTGGATAGCCCAGGCTAGATGGATCTTGTCAGATCTCGGAAGTTAAGCAGGATCAGTCTTGGCTAGTATTTGGATGGGTGCCCTCCAGGGCCCTGACGCAGAGGCAGGAAATGGCAAAACACCTCTGAAACATCCCTTGCCTTAAAAACATGTCTCGCTCGCCACCTAGTGGTGCATAATGCTAAAAGGACTAGAATAGTTATAGGATCTCCTGGCTATCCTACACACACTGCCATATGTTAATGAATTAATTAATTTCCCCCGCTGCTTTTTCAGATGTGCGGAGAATCCCTGCAGATAGAAGTGACATTCTCCGAGGTGGAAGGAGCTTCCTCGGAGCAAGAGGAGAGAGGGCAGGGGCAGGAAAATATCCACGATGCCCTCTCCTGTGGTAAAGGCTCTTTGTGCCTGGATACGATTGGGGTACCCAGTGCGTTTGACTGATAGAGAGTTTGGGTCGGCGGGAAATTAAACACTTGTTAACACAACACGAAGTTAATTTGTGGAACTCGGTGTCCACTAATTAAACAAATTCATGGAAGGCAATTCCTCTTCATAGCTCACCCTCCTTCCATACAGTAGACAAACCTTGTCGGAGGGATTCAGCCTGGTGAATAAAGGGAGCCTCCACCTTCTGGGGCAGCAGAACTCTGAAAAACACTTTCTGGAGGCCAATAATAATGGGGAAATTTGGCTTCTGTGCTCTTGCTGGCCTGGCGACTCCCGGGAGCTTAAGGGAGGGGCTTTGGGAGGGGCTTGGAACCGATGTGGTGTCATGTTGATGTTGCGTCTGGCTGAAAACCTGGCTGTGAATATAGCATGCAAAGGAAAACTCTGAAAACTCAGTTCTATTACAGGCCCGTAGCCACAGTGGGGGTCTTGCCAGTTTGGTGTCGTGGTCAAGAGTGTGGACTCTAATCTGGGAGAACCAGGTTTGATTCCCCACTCCTCCACAGGCAGCTGCTGGTGTGGCCTTGGGTCAGCCATAAGTTCTTTCAGAGCTGTTCTCTGAAGGGCAGTTCTCAAGAGAGCTCTCTTGGCCCCGCCTGCCTCACAGGGTGTCTGTTGTGAGGAGGGGAAGGGAAAGGGGATTGTCAGCCGCTCTGAGACCCTCTTCTTCTTCCTCTAGCTCCCCCGACTTTCCACCGAGGTACCTCCACCTTCCCAACCACCCCCCAACTTCCAATTTTCTTTTTTTTTTAAATAGTATTTTAATTATTTTCAGTAAAACAGGTTACGATAAAGTTAGAGTCAGTTACAATTGCAACAATGCATGCACCAATACAATACGATACAAAGCTTCTTAGAAAAATAACAGCTCTTGATAATGCAGATTATCTGGAATTGTATTTCTCTCTGTTAAATACCCTTTTACAGGAAACCCAGAACGCTTGAAACGATTCTTATAGTGAGCTAAATTTGTGACCAGAGGCTGTGATGAGATTTTACCTAGTACAAGGTGGTCCCATAATTTTTTTTTTGCCAGAATAATAATGTAGGACAGGATCTCTCTCTCCATTAAAACGTCCACTTTTCAATGGCCTCTCGCCACCCACTCTGTCTCTTGCTCCCAGCAAGGCAGCTACAAGTCCCACACCACCATCGGCAAACCCCACACCATCCTTTCACACTGTACAGTGCTATCTCCCTCCCTCCCTCCCTCCCCGGGAGAAGTACCTGGCCTTCAAGCTGGCACACCGAGGCACAAACTGTACCAACCTCACCCTCCACTGCCCTTTCTCTCTCCAGCTGTTTCCTTCCTTCCTTTGTCCTCCTTCCTTCCTTCCAGTTTGGTGTAGCCAGTTTGGTGTAGTGGTTAAGTGCGCGGAGACTAATCTGGGAGAACCGGGTTTGATTCCCCACTCCTCCACTTACAGCTGCTGGATGACCTTGGGTCAGTCACAAGCTCTGGCACAGCTGTCCTTGAAAAAGAGCAGTTTCTGTCAGAGCTCTCTTAGCCCCACCTACCTCACAGGGTGTCTGTTGTGGGGAGGGGGAGGGAAAGGAGCTTGTAAGCCGCTCTGAGACTTCAAGTGAAGGGCGAGGTATAAATCCAGTATCTTCTTCTTCTTCTTCCTTCGTAGCTGGGGGAAGGGTGGGAGGGAGCCTGGGGCGTGCGGCACTATTGCGCCGCGCTGCCTACTCCCTCCTCCCCCTGGAGAACTACCTGGCCTTCAGGCTGGCACGCCGGGGCACAAACTCTCCTGACTCTAACAGGGAAGCCGGGAGGGAGAAGGGGAGTAGTTTAATTTAATTTAAATGCAGGGAAGGGCGGGAGCGGGGCTGCTCGCTTGGGATGTGTATGCAAGGAAGCTGCAGCCAGTGTTCCCTCTAAGCTGCAGAGTCTTGTGAGCAAAAATTCTACTTTGTGAGCTACGGGCATTACAGCTGTGAGCGAGCGATTCGGCTGCTGCAACAATGAGTTGGCTCCGGAGCCCTCCCTTCCTGAGCTGAGACAAAAATGTGTAAACCGGAGGCTAGAAAACTGTGAGCTGGCTCAGACTAACTCAGCTTAGAGGTTAGAGGGAACACTGGCTGCAATGTATTTAAAGGCCCCCCAAATTAAGAAATCCTGGCTACAGGCCTGTCATATTACCCTGGAGTCAAGTCACATCTGGGCCGAACGTGACGGTGATGTGTCATAGGAACATAAGAGACGCCAATGTTGGATCAGGCCAAAGGCCCATCCAGTCCAACACTCTGTGTCACACAGTGGCCAGAAATGCCAGGTGCCATCAGGGGGTCCAGCAGTGGGGCCAGGAGACTAGAAGCCCTCCCCACGGTTGCCCCCCCCCCCCCACCCCCAAAAAAACAAGAGCCCCAGACCAAGAGTTCCTATCTATACCTTGTGGCTAATAGCCACTGATGGACCTCTGCTACATATGCTTATCTAATTCCCTTTTGAAGCCGTCCATGCTTGTAGCCGCCACCACCTCCTGTGGCAGTGAATTCCAGGTGTTAAGCACTCTTGGGGTGGGAAGGACTTCCTTTTATCCGTTCTAACCTGACCGCTCAGTATCCCGCGACATTTCCACCCCTCTCTTCCCTCCCCACCACCCCCAGGCCCGCCCCAGGTCTCACGGAAGTCTGAAATACGTCGGCAGGATTTTTCATCCCTGGGGCTCATGGGTACCTGGTGCTTCTCTTCTGCTTCATCCAGGATACAGTAGAAAGTGTAAAAAAAAAAATGTGTTGAGTTTACACAGGGCAAGGTTTCACACCCCTGGGAAGGGGGTTAGTGAAGCAGGGAACAGAAAGCCCTGGAAGACACCCTTCCTTCCTCCTTTGTCTCAGAAACAGGCAGTGGAGAGATGCTGTTGAGCTGCCGTCTTTTCAGAGGGGTGGAAATGGCTGCTGCAGCTCCAGTCCAGGTAAGGGATTTGAGGCAGGGGGCAGCCTGGGTCCCCCCTCCTTTCTCAGGGGGGCTTTTGCTCCTACAGTTTCTACAAGTTGTCTGGACGAAAGAGGCTCTGAACGCCACTCCCTTTACCCATGCCAGGCCATACCTCCTGTACCCTCCCGGATTACTCCCTTCCAGTGTTCAATCCCTGCCTGGCATGATCTCTGATGCGGGTATCTGCTTTTTCACTCAGTGTCCGTTTTCCTTTGAGGACGTGGCCGTGTCTTTCACCGTGGCAGAGTGGGCCCTGCTGGATCCGGACCAGAGAGCTCTCTACCGGGAAGTCATGCTGGAGAACTACAGGAGTGTGGCCTCGCTGGGTAAGGATCCTTCATTAGGTGCCCAAGGTGCAGATTTGCACCATCGTGATGTGACATGTATCAAAACATTGAACAGGAAGACAGCATTTTGACCCCCGTCCCGCTACTTGCCCAGAGTAAAGTGAGGCCAGTGTTGTGGCCACCTGGCTTGAGGCAAAGGTGGGACGAGAGGCCCTCGGAAAGACTCTGGAAGGGGCCAGATCCTAATTTCTCTGTGGCCAGCTTTTAAAACACACCCCCTGGATGGGATTACAAATATCCACTCTGACTGTGATCTGAACACACTGGTTTCAATTTTGGGCTTTAACCTTGACCATGTTTCTGCCCTTCCAGGAAAATCTTTACTTTTGCTTGGATTTCTGTCCATCCCCATATAAGAATTCTCTCTCTCTCTGTCTCTCTGTCTCTCTGTCTCTATCTCTCTCTGTCTCTGTCTCTCTCTGTCAGAGCCAGTTTGGTGTAGTGGTTAAGTGTGTGGACTCTAATCTGGGAGACCCAGGTTTGATTCCCTTTTTAGCCTCTGGCTCACACATTTTTGTCTTAGCTCAGGAAGGGCGGTTCCAGAGCAAACTAATTTATGCAGCAGCCAAATCACTTGCTCACAGCTTTAATGCCAGCAGCTCACAAAGTAGAATTTTTGTTCACAAGACTGCACAGCTTAGAGGGAACATTGCCTTGCATCCAAACAAAGGCTGGAGAGTTCCTCAAGAAGAAGCATGCCACAGCTCTTGAAAGGCTGTGGTATGCTTAAATCCTGGATATTCTGGGGGAAGGTTGGGGGTTAGTTAAGGTCAGCCAAGCAGGAGGGGGCCAAAAGGCCGTCAATCCTTTCCTACTGCAGCCTTTGGACCATTCCTTCCCTCCCAGGTGCTAATGTTTCCTCTCTCTCCATTCCAGCAGAGGACGATCAGAGGAATGAGGAGGGCGAGGAACTTCAGCTGCAATTGCCAGATAACGTTAATAATGAAGACTTGAAAGGAAGCATCTGGAATCGAGGCAGCCCTAAGAGAAATAAAGTTTGGTGGAGAAGAGAGATGGAAGGAAGCATAAGGCACATTTTCCAAAGCCCAATATAATGAAGACAAGTAAATTTATTCAATTTGGGAAGTACTTCAAATATAAATCACAGCTTCTTGTGAACCAAAGAAAACAAAGAGGAGAGAGATTTTTTGAATACTCAGACTGTGAAAAGCAATTCAGTTCGAAGGGCAATCTTCAACGGCATAAAAGAACCCACTCAGAGGAAAAACCGTTTGAATGCCCAGAGTGTGGAAGGAGATTCAGTACAAATCGCTATCTTCAATATCATCAAAGAACTCACTCAAGGGAGAAGAATTTTGAATACTCAGAGTGTGGAAAGAGATTCAGTCAAAATGGCAGTCTTCAATATAATCAAAGATCCCACACAGGGGAGAAACCGTTCGAATGCTTGAAGTGTGGAAAGAGATTCAGTCAGAATGGCAGTCTTCAATATCATCAAAGAACCCACACAGGGGAGAAACCGTTTGAATGTTCAGAGTGTGGAAAGAGATTCAGTCACAAGGGCAGTCTTCAGTATCATCAAAGAACCCACACAGGGGAGAAACCTTTTGAATGTTCAGAGTGTGGAAGGAGATTCAGTCGGAATAGCAATCTTCAAGGGCATAAAATAATGCACATAAGGGAGAAACCTTTTGAATGCTCAGAGTGTGGAAAGACATTCAGTGCGCGTAGCCACCTACAAGTGCATAAAAGAAACCACACAGGGGAGAAACCATTCGAATGCTCAGAGTGTGAAAAGAGATTCAGCACACATAGCCATCTTCAATATCATCAAAGAACCCACACAGGGGAGAAACCTTTTGAATGCTCAGAGTGTGGAAAGACATTCAGTGCGCGTAGCCACCTACAAGTGCATAAAAGAAACCACACAGGGGAGAAACCATTCGAATGCTCAGAGTGTGAAAAGAGATTCAGCACACATAGCCATCTTCAATATCATCAAAGAACCCACACAGGGGACAAACCTTTTGAATGTTCAGAGTGTGGAAGGAGATTTAGTCAGAGTAGCCATCTTCAAGAACATAAAAGAAGCCACACGGGGGAGAAACCTTTTGAGTGTTCAGAGTGTGGAAAGAGATTCAGTACCAATCACTATCTTCAATATCATCAAAGAACTCACTCAAGGGAGAAGACTTTTGAATACTCAGAGTGTGGAAAGAGATTCAGTCAGAATGGCAGTCTTCAATATCATCAAAGAACCCGAACAGGGGAGAAACCGTTTGAATGTTCAGAGTGTGGAAAGAGATTCAGTCATAAGGGCAATCTTCAATATCATCGAAGAACCCACACAGGGGAGAAACCATTTGAATGCTCAGAGTGTGGAAAGAGATTCAGTGGGAGTGGCACTCTTCACAATCATCAAAGAACCCACACAGGGGAGAAACCTTTTGAATGTTCAGAGTGTGGAAGGAGGTTCAGTCGGAACAGCAATCTTCAAGAGCATAAAATAACCCACATAAGGGAGAAACCTTTTGAATGCTCAGAGTGTGGAAAGAGATTCAGTACTAGTCGCTATGTTCGACTTCACCAAAGAACCCACACAGGGGACAAACCTTTTCAATGCACAAACTGTGGAAAGAGATTCAGTTGGAGTGGCGGTCTTCAAAGGCATAAAAGAACTCACACAGGAGAGAAACCTTTTGAATGCTCAGAGTGTGGAAAGAAATTCAGTTGCAGTAGCCATCTTCGAGACCATAAGAGAATCCACACAGGGGAGAAACCTTTTGAATGCTCAGAGTGTGGAAAGAGGTTCACTCAGAGTGGTGCTCTTCAACAGCATAAAAGAACCCACAAAGGGAGAAACTTTTTGAATGCGGAAAGGGATTCAAGTTGAGTGGGTATCTTCAAAAGCACCTGACAACCTACACAGGGAAGAACCATTTTAAACACTTAGAGTGTGGGAGGAGATTCAGTCACAGTGGCACTATTAAAAAGCATTTAAAAAAACCTCACACAGAGGACAACCCTTTTGAATGCTCAGAGTGTGGAAAGAGATTCAGTCAGAGTAGCCTTCTTCAAGACTGTGGAGAATCCCCCCACTGAGTTTTTGAAGTGTCCTTTTTTTCTTTTCTCTGGAAGGGCAGGAAGCTAGGTCAATTACAAGCCATAGTTTTGCAAATGACTCGACTAGCTAGGTTTTTAAGGTATTTCGTGTTATGAATTTCCAGGTGATTCCTGGAATTTTCCCAGAATGCCAGAAGGCTCCTGGGCAAGATGGCTCCTGCAGACTAGGAGCCATCTTGGCCATGAGACCCGGCCTGCTGACTGCAGGGAGCTTGAGGTAATGGGACATCTTTAGAACCTTTTGCAACTTTCTAACTTTGTACATACCTAATCTCTTTCCACATCTAGTTGTTGAAAGAGCCTGCTTTGGTGGGAAGGGCGGGGTATAAGTCTAATAAATAAATAACTAAATAGTTTGCGTAAGTTTTAAAACCAGGGGAAGAAGGATACATTTATATCCAGCTTTTCTTTGTTCTTCCGTGTGCTGACCTGTTGTTGTGATTAAGTGAGATGAAACTTACTTTTTTTTAAATAAATGCTTTTTAATATTGGATGTGGCCCTAAGTTTCTGTACCACATAGTCCTCCAACTGCTTGGATATGCTATTAGTTTCCCAGATTGGGAGGGAAACGTTCAAGGCACCCGTCGCTAACCCTATAGGGGAAGACCGAAGTTGCATTTGGGACCTGTGGTAACCAGGTGCTGGGAAGCGCGAGACCTTGAGGCCAGGCCTCAGAACTGGAAATGGGGGATGAGAGTGCTGTTCCTCTCATTCAGGACCTCTAAACTGAGCAGGTGGTGGTAGCGTGCCCTAATGGCAGGAAGTGGGATAGCACCCTCCAGGAATGGGGGGGGGCAGGCAGGACAGGGCCTGTAAGTCAGAGCAGGCCTGTTGCGTTACATAGAGCATTAAAACACCCACACAGGGGAGACCTTTTAAATATGTATTTGTTTGTTTGTTCAGTTTATACCCCGCCCTCCCTGCTGAAGCAGGCTTACATAAGGAAAGAAATACAAATAAACTGTGGAAAGAAATTCAGGTTGAGTAGTGACCTTCAACAGCACTACAGAACTCAAACACAGGAGAAAACTTTTGAATGCGTGGAGTGTGAGAAGAGATTCAGTCACGGGGGCACTCTTCAGCAGCATCAAAGGAACCCATACAGGGGAGAAATCTTTTGAATGCTCAGCGTGTGGAAAGAGATTCAGTCAGAGGGGCCTTCTTCAACAGCACCAAAGAACCCATACCAGGGGAGGGGGACCTTTTCAGTGCTCAGAGGGTGGAAAGAGATTGAGTTGGAGAAGCACTTTTTGAAAGTAACTCACAGAAGGAGAAGCCACGTAACCGCTTAGCCCCCATGAAAACGGCATTTCTTTTCTTTCACAGCTAAAAGACAACCACAGACCACATAAAGCATCGAAACCATATAAACTCTTTTGAAAAGCTTTCCACAGAAATCTGGAAGAAATGTTTTAAATGCTCAGACTGTAGAAGGAGTCTTTAGCCGTGTTTGAAGCCCTCCAGTCCCAGAGGAAGAAAGCAAGGATGGGCTCTGCCGGGTGAAGTAAATTCAAGGTCAGCTCCGGTCTCCTTTTGCACGGAGAATTTCACACAAGGGAGGAACCTCATAAATGCTCAGCGTGTGGCCAGAACCTGAGGCACAGACCTGACTTTCACGTTCCTCAGAGAATCCACACAAGTATAAAACGTTCCTATCGCTGATTCCGATGAGGCTGTCCTTTGAACACCCAAGTGCTCCTGTTGTGCAAGTACCGTAGTTTTCTAAGCGATTCTACTCTCTGAAATGTTTGCTGAGCGAACATCTTCAGTCACCTCCCAGGAATTGGAGGTTTGCTTATTACAGGTCTGCTGTAGGTCGGAAGCCCCTTCACGGCACATAACACATAACGCAAACAGCACGTTTTCCAGGATGGTGAAAACAAAGGCAGACTGTGACAAGCTACAGGAGCTCGTTATTTACTTAGTGTTTGGTTAGTGTTTAGATGGGAGACCACCATGGTAGTCCAGGGTTGCTACGCATAGGCAGGCAGTGGCAAACCACCTCTTTTTTTTTTTAAGACCCCCGGAGAGGAATTTTTTTTATTTTTTATAATACTACATAAACTACAAAGAAAAGAAGGGAAGGGGAGCTACAACTAAGGAGACAGAAAAGTAACCCACACTAAACTAAAAACTCAAGAGTAGGAGATCATTACCCTGTTAGACTGCAGTTACTAATGGGGGAAAAACTGTTAATATACAATATACTTTGTGAGATCCTGTCTTTCTAAGCTTATATGTTAGTTTATTGCTTGTTATGAGAAGATTTCCAGAGCATCTCCTCCAGCTCTTTTCGTAAGGGCAATTTTCAGAGTCCTTCCGCCTTTACATCTATGCTGATTCTCTCTAAAGTCTTGATGGCTTCTTAGATGTTCACTCGAAATTCTGCAACCCTCCTCCGTCTCCAAAGGGATAACACCGCCATTCCCTGCAGATAGCAGTAAATGAGGCTCACCCTCAAAAGCCCTATGGCCTGGGAGGCCTCCCTGACCCCCCATGGAGGCGTTGATCCAGCGGCACCCCTCCGCTGCTCTGCGGAGCGTCCTCCCTGAGCCAGGCCTAGGAAGCCTGATCACCCCCAGTCCATCCCACCGCATAATTACTCTATCCAATTGAGCCGATTTGAGAATACCACCAGGACTAACACCTAAGTAGTGGTACGGTTGGATTTAGGAATCTCTGCTCTGCACTTTTTAATTGTTTCCGGCACTTTCGAAAATGGATACCGGTGGTTTATGGATGTTTTATGGATGTTTTTAATTGTATTTATATATGTATTTTATGTAACCCGCCCTGTGCCCACCTTGGCGGAAAGGGTGGGGTATAAATCGAACTAATAAATAAAATACGGTAAATGCATAAAAGCTAAGCAGGATCATCCCTGGTTAGCACTTGGATGGGAGACAACGAAGGACGTCTCGGGTTGCTATGCAGAGGCAGGCAATGGAAAACCATCACTGCAGTGGCACAGAGGATTTATCCTCTGGTTATAATAGTAACATCTGAGCTGAACAGGCTTGCTGTCAGTTCTAGCCCCGCGCTGGTGTGAGCTTCCAGCCTTGTCCCCAGAGGTTCGAAAGCTTCAGCAAGTAGATAAAATGGGTACCACTCCTTAGAGAGAGTGGGCACACTGAACCCCCCCCCCTCGTGGGGTGGAGCAGTGCTAGCCGGCGAACGGAAGTCCAGCTCGCATGACGGAAAGCCTAGAGAGATCTCCTCGGCGTGAAGAAAAGCCTGTAATGGGCCATCCGGCCAGGCGATGGCAGTGTGGTGCTACAACTCAAGGAGTCTGGAGAAAAGCTGACACTATCAAACTCGGCCGAGGAAAAAATGCCGTTCCGGATCACGTCTCATCTGCATCTAAATGGAACCCTCGTCGGCTGTGAATGTGTGCGATTTAAGATGTATATATGTTGTCCTCCCTTACCCCACAAAGCACTGTTAGTCCCTCGTGAAAAATGAGTAACTGTAAATCGCTCAGAGCCAGCAAGCTCTGCAGGATTGAGCGATCAATAAATTGAAAGATGATGATGATGATGATGATTGTCTTGAACACCTTACAGATCGCCAGAAGTCAGCTGTGACTGGAAGGCCCTTTTCCTCCACCATCCCTGGGTAATCTGTCTAAACTGGATGAGTTAGAAGTAGGGTTGCCAGATCCGGGTTGGAAAACACCTGGAGATTTTGGGGTGGAGCCTGAGGAAGGCAGGGTTTGGGGAGGGTCAGGACTTCAGTAAGGTGGAATGCCACAGAGTCACCGTCCAGAGCAGACATTTCCTCGAGGGGAACTGATCTCTATCATCTGGAGATCAAGCATGAAAGCAGGAGATCTCCAGCTGCTACCGGGAGTCCGGCAACCCTAGGACTCAGCAATCACATGGCAAAGGAAGTCCGGTTTGGGTAAGTGTAACGTGATGCATATTGGAAGGGGGGAAAAAAACCTGATTTTCAATATATGCTGATGGGTTCTGAACAGTGCTCCCTCTAAGCCGTGGAGGCTTGTGAGCAAAAATTCTACTTTGTGAGCTACTGGCATTAAAGTGGTGAGTCAGTGACTTAGCCACTGCATAAATCAGTTTGCTCTGGAGCCCTCCTTCCTGAGCTAAGACAAAACTGTGAGCTGGAGGCTAAAAAACTGTGAGCTAGCTCACACTAACTCAGCTTAGAGGGTGTGGTGTCACTCATTGGGGTGGGGGTGCAGGGTTCACGCGATGCAAAGACGACAGGATACAAACGGCTGCAGGAACTGATCTGAAACCCCTCGGCTTCCCAGCGTTTATTTATAAGCTCAGTTTCCCCCCATTTCCTCCCCCCCTCCCCTCTTCCCCTGTAAGGGAAAGTTACAAGCATTCGAGTATCCTTTTGGAATGTGTGTGTGTGTGTGTGAGCTCTCTGTTATCAGTTTCTCCCCCTCAAGCCCAAATTGACTGTGTAGGCAATCACCAGACTTCTCATGCTGTTAGCACACAAATACCTTTGGGTTC